TCATGGTTGAAATCAGGAAGCTTGGACGAATATAATACACCCCTCGCGCCTAATTTATATAACCATATGGCCTAATCGCTATTTTGGAAAAGAGTGTATTTTGGGGGGGTTTAAAACCCCCGCTAACCCTTTTTTATGTTTCAGGAAAAACACTCAAACGGGGAAGACGATGACTTGTCTTCATACGATAGGTCCATTTAAAATTTTAGCGCGTTTTTTTTGAGTTGATGTTATTAACGTGTTTTATTCTATATATTATTTGTTGCCCACTAATACTACAAAGAAAGCCAATAGCGCAGATGGTGGATGCGTTGTCACATGAGCACTGGGACCTGGGTTCGATTCCTAGGTCCCTCCCCTTGTTCTATATTTTTTGTTTCAGCGTGATCTCATGCAATTTCCCCTCAAAGGCCTACCATACACTCATCATCCAGGCGTGCCACATGCCTACTGATCTCAATCCAATGGTCCAGAGTCAAAGCCTATGATGTGCTGCAGTCAACGCATACTCATGCTACCCTGGAAAGTCAACCAGGCCAAAGATCAATGGGCCAGAATTGCTAGGAACATACCTCCAATTTGGGGACAGAACCCCCCTTGGTATTGTATTTCTTTCTATTTTCTTTGTTTTATTCTTATTATTTGTTTTAATTCCATTATTTTCTTTTAATTCAATAAAAATTAATTTCACATAAAAGTAATATAAAAATTAGAAAAGACGAAAATTAAAATATGTTTTATTTAAATATTATCTTTTTTTTGTAAATAAATCTCACTAACTAATTAGATTTAAATTTAGGTTAATTTCAAATATCTTTTCTTAATAAATTTAAAATTTGTAGAATTAGGTTAATTACCTTAATTACTTTTTCTTTTATTTTCTCATCACTAATAATTAATTATTTTTGTAAATACTTGCAATTAATTAATTAGGGTTAATTTTAGGTTAAAATTTAATGCTTTTCTTAATAAATAAATAAAAAACTAGAATTAGGGTTAATTAATATTTTAACTTCATTTAATTCTCTCATAAAAATTCATAAAATACAAAAAAACCTCAAAAATAATTTCTCTTATTTTATTTTAATTAATTCGTTAATAATAATTTAATTTCGTAACAAAGGGTCCAACGCCCTCGCTTTCAATTTTAATTCAATTCGCGCATTTTATTTTATTTCTTATATTTTTATATAATTCTCCCAAAGCCGTGTAAATTTATATTTCTCGCACTTTATTTCTTTATTTTCTGTCAAATCGGGTCCTGGATTAAATTTGGCGATGTGGACCCGCGCCTTTGTAATAGCTTAGGAACCTTTACGTTTCCCGCAACTTTTTAACTGTTAATAATTGCATGCAAGAATGAATGACAAAATAAAAATAACGCGTAGATCACTCATGACATGACAAGACAAAAATAAATGAACATGACACACAAATCACACACCACCCCTAGGGTACGCCTCACTGTTGCCTTGCCTCGAAAGGTGATCGTCGAGTAGAGGATGTCTTAGTAAGTCCTCATGATCCGGGAACCTGGCATGAGGGTAGCTTCTAAGGTGTCTTCCCATTTCTCTGGTGATCACCATGTCCCGAACCTCGAATTGACCCGAACACCTCCAACGGTGGTGCTACCTACCTCTCAATGGTGGGATGGCACTACTTTAAAGGACATTTACACAGACGAATTCCTTAGGGTAGGTAGACGACTCTAGATAATTGCTCTAATTTCAAAACAAATCAAAAATACTTTTCACACCGACACCTTTTTCAAAAAGCTTTCGAAAGCAACTTTTCAAACACTCTTGAGGACCGATACAAGAGTCGAACTGAAATTTTCAAAGAAACTTTTCAAAACCCACTCACACTTTGAAAAACAAACCATTTTGAAAACACAAGTGAGCAAGTATCTAAGAGCCCATGGATAACCATGGATAGAAAGGGTGCTAACACCTTCCCTTTCTATAATCTACCTCCCGAGTCGAGAGCAATCTCTTTAAGGAATTTTTCTGTGCTTTTGTCCTTTCCATATTGGAGAAAATAAAAGACGGTGGCGACTCTTGCTTCCGCGACATTTCGCGAACCAGCGTTAAACAGTCAGTTCCAGATCCACCGATCACAGATAGCCTCCAAAAGAAGGCGAGAATTGGTTTTCTCACCTCTTTTTGGGATGACGATTTGGTGAGGGCAAATATTTCTTAAAGTTGTATTCCCTATACTCTATCTTATTTATATCCAACATGATATAAAAGTTAGATATGTTGGCCTTTGAGTGGATGGAATTTTGGTTTGGGACATTCAGTGGAGGAGAACCCTTATTGTCTAAGAGCATGTGTTGTCTGCTTTACTAGGGTTTTCCGCTTATGGTTTTGCTTCTTTTTTATCTGTTATTGCTTATTTTATCGTTTTTAGATTTATTTCTCTTGATATTGATTGTTGTTTGTCAGTTATTTGAGGTTAGACTCCTTATCATCTATTTTTTATCTTGTCAAAGTGAAAGAATTTGTAATGAGTCTAGTATATTGATTTATGGGGTTTTGTGCAGTAATGGTATGGTGCAATATTTCATGGGGAACACGATGAATGATCATGCTTTTCTTAATGCGCATGTTGAATCAATTCCAATGCAATATTTGCAAGTTGCCAAGCATAAAAAAAGGGAGGCGGGAATTGCTCTTCTATCCTAGGGTTTCTCGCTTTGAGTTTTGGTGCTTGTCTTATTGATTATCGCTTATTTTATTGTTTAGTAATTACACATCTCTTATAATTGAGTGTTTTACATTAAAATGTAATCTACACACATAAATCAAACTACTTACCTAAAGTCAATGCAAAATGATTCAAGTCAATAAGTTGAAAACTTGATCAAGAAACTCATGAAAGCCTTGTTCAAGTGAGTCAAATTCTCGATTCAATCATGAACTTTTTTTTAGAATTTCAATTCTCAAATCATGATTTGAAATGAGTAAGACATACTTTGCTTATGTAAGTGTGATTCGACTCACAAGATCCCCTAATAAAAAATAATTATGAGCTTGATTTGAATCACATGTCAACTTAATTCAAATCATAATTGAGATTTACATTACGGAGTTTTCTTTGTTTGCGTGACACTAATCAAGGATTTCTTTGGCTCAAATTAATTGTGCAAAATCAGACTGCAAAATCAAGTTATGACTGTGTAGTTGGGATTTACAATTCAACAAAGTAAAAATAATGGTTTTCTTCTTTAAGGAAAACTTTGGTATAATCAAGTGAAGGTTTTTGCTGATGAAGTTTGGAGTTTATGCTTCCTTTAGTTAGATCGAAGGATGATACAACAGACTTTCAACATGATTGAGTGAAAATTGTAGAAAACGAAGGCTTCTAGAAAACTTTGGATCTAGGAAGGTGAACTGATATAAGAACGAGTGGAAATCTTGTGGAATTCAGTCTCGTGAGTTGTATACTCTAAAAGAAGAAAATTCAGATTAAAGTTGTTAATATATTGATTTAAGTTTTCTACATTATATGAGATTATTTGATTATATTGGAAGACTAACAAATTTCCAAAGATTTATCATTGGTGACTAATTTAGGTGCTAGCAAGGACGGATGCACTGAACAAGTTTAAATTGCGATGCATTTTTCTCTATCCCTCTCTTTAAACATTTGTATAGATTTATATGATCTTAGGGTTTAATTTCTTTCTAATCCCCCATCTAGACCATTTTAAAATCATATTCTACCAAACAATTATATTTTCCCTAAACATATATAGTTGGCGGTGTTGTTATAAGAAGGACGGTGTTTATTTGGTTGCTTCCATTTATAGTGCCCTGCAGGGATGCTAATCTTATTGGAAACTTCACGAATAAAGATGATATTATTTTCCCCTTAAATTAGGTAGTTGAGCTTGTCTAAAGCTTTTGTTTTCTCTTGGAAACTCCTTCAAGATTGGATCTCATATTGAGAGAAACTTTTTAAGCAACGTGTAAATATCGACCTCGAGTGTATTTTGTGTGGTTTGTGTAATGGCCCTTGAAGATCATTTCTTTATACATTTTTATGATCTGTGAGGTTGTGATTTCATTGTGGTATATGATTTTTAGTTTGTTTGGGTTGTCGTTTGTCCTTCATTAGGATTTTTCTTTGTTTTTTGGGTTTTTATATTGTTGGATGATTCGTAAAGGATTATAAGTGATTTAACTATAATTTGGCCCTACATTGTTTCATTAGTTTAGAAATCTCTGAACGATGCCAATTTTTCATATATCTCTCTAATCATGGAGGATTTAGAATACGATAGAATTTTATCTTCTTGAAAATGATGTCTAGGTAGGTCTGCGGTGTACTCTTGTATTTTGGATATCTATCTGAGAAAGTTTATTCTTTGCTTGAGTCAATAGCAGTTTAAGAGTTAAATTTGACTTTTTGAATTAAGTGTTCTTTATGCTTTTAGAGAATTATGTTTTATAGATAGTAGCACTTAATGTCAGGTTCTAGTCAAGTACCCTTTTGTTGTGGTGTGGTGGTTTTTGTTGAAATTATAATTCTTTGTGTCGAAGCAGGAATTCAACAGTCTGTATTAACTATATTCGATAGAGAATCAAATACAACAAGTAGTTTTCGAAATGCATGTATTAGTCTAAATGTGTAGTTGTGAAGGAGCTACCCTTGGTATATTTAAACTTACCATTTTTGTATGTTTTAGCTAAGTTAGTTTGGTTAGAGTTTACTTTGTGAATAAACAAACTCAACTATAAATAGGGAGGTACCCTATCATTGTAATGTGTGAAGAAAAGTTGAATAAAATTTCAATTTGAAGGAAGAGAGAAACTCTATAGAATCTTCTTCTTCTCCCCTTTTCTCTCAAACTCCAATTTCTCTTTTCTCTCCCAATTTATCTTTTCTTTCATCTTAAATTTATATGCAGTGGGAATCATATTCTAACCAAGGTTTGGTTGATTCACTCGAGTGAAGAACAAGAGGCACAATCAATCAAAAAGTTTGATTCTTGTTCATCAAGATTGGTTTAAATCATCTCCAAGATTGGGGTTTAATTTCAACATATGATATCTAAAGCACTGGCTGTGTGATTCTTGGGAAGCATAACGCGATGGACCATCCGGACGGGCATTTTCCTGCATGTCTTCCAATCCTGAAAGATAAGAATTACGAAAATTGGTATAAGCAGAAGAAGATTGTTTTATGCTATCAAGATCTTTTGGATCTTGTGAAGGAAGAAGTAACACCAATTGGAGAAAACGCTACAGATGAACAAAAGGCTGCACATAAAGATTTGAGCAAGAAAGATTATAAAGCTCTCTTTATAATTCATAAATGTGTGGATCCATATAACTTTAAAAGGTTGGGTGATGTCGAATCACCGAAAGAAGCATGGGATATTCTAGAGAAATCGTTTGAAGGTGAAAAGAAGGTGAAATAGGCGAGGTTACAAACTCACAAAAGAACGTATGAATTGCTTCATATGGAAGAAAGTGAAAACATAACTGATTTTTCATTAGGGTTACGAAAATGATGATTCAAGATCAATTATCGCAAATATGTTGAGTTTATTGGCTCCAAAATTTGATCACGTGGTAGTAGCCATAGAAGAATCGAAAGATTTGTCAACTCTTACAAAGGAAGAGCTTCAAGGGACGGTTGAATCTCATGAACAGAGAGTGGTTAAAAGATCTGCAAGTAAGTTGAAAAGCTATGTAGCTCTGCAAGCACAATCAACAAAAGAAAAGAAAGACAAAAGAAGGTGGTTCGACATCAAAGGTAGAGGAGGCTACAACAATTCGACTAGTAGAGGAAACCAACAAGAGGGGAACTCGTCGAATCAGAGGAGATCTTCAAACCAGAGCAACCACATAGGTGGTGGTGCAGGTAGAGGAAGAGGTGGTGGAAGAAAACCCAACAAGATTCACATTCAATGTTACAATTGTTAGAAGTATGGTCATTATTCAAGTGATTATTCTGAAAAATAAAAGAATCAAGACATTGATGCAAGGCTTGCAAAACACGAAGAAGAAGAAGAGACATTGTTGATTGTCACAATGAGAGATGAAGAAAGATTCAAGGACCAAATGTACTTAGACTCAAGATGCTCATTACACATTGCTGGTAGAAAAGATTGGTTTCTTAGCTTGAGTCCATCAATGAAGAACAAGGTGAAATTCGCAAATGATAATACCATAGAAGCTGAAGGTATTGGTGATGTTCTTGTTATTAGGAAAGATGGTAAAATGTCAGTGATTTCCAATGTATGGTATATACCATGCATGAAAAGCAATTTTCTCATCAGAAGACAATTAATCGAGAATAATTATAAAGTGTCGATCAAAGATAAGATGATGAGAGTTCTAGACTCAATAGGATGATTAATATTGAAGGAGCCAATGTCTCAGAACAGAACCTTTAAGATTGAACTTAATGTGATAGAGAACAAGTGTCTGACAACTGCAACTAGCACAAATGAATGGCTATGGAACTACATACTTGGCCATCTCAACTTCAATGACATCAAAAATCTGAAAAGAGGAAATATGATTTCAGGGTTACCAAAAATCTATATTCCAAATGAAGTGTGTGAAGAATGTGTGAAGGTAGAGAAACACAAGAATAACTTCAGCAAGGATGTAGGAAGCAAGTCGAAGGCAATTCTTGAAGTCATATATTCTGATGTGCGTGGTCCTATCCAGGAGGATTTGATTGGAGGTAACAAATACTTTGTCATATTCATAGATTATTTTAGTCGAAAACTGTAGACTTACCTGATCAAGAAAAAGTGAAGTGATCGAGGTATTTGTCAAGCTTAAATTTATGGTTGAGAGACAAAGTGGTCAAAAGCTCAAGAATCAGAGGACTGATGGTGGTAGAGAATATGTGTCGAAAGATTTCGATGCATTGTATGAAAAAGAAGGGATTGTACATGAGGTGGTGCCACCCTACACTCCACACCAAAAGGGAACTGCATAAAGGAATAATAGAACCATCATGAATATGGTGATAAATATGTTGAAAGGAAATAATATACCTAAAGAATTATGGGATGAGGCTATGTTGATTGCAACATACATCCTGAACAAATGTCCGATAAAAAAGCAAGAAGGAATTACACTAGTGGAATATTGGTCTAGTGTTAAGCCTAGCTTAAGTTATCTAAAGGTATTTGGATTTATAGCACATAGACACGTGCTTGATCAATTGAGAAGAAAACTTGATTACAAGTCGAGTCAAATGATCCTAATAGGATATCATTTGACAGGTGGATACAAATTATTCGACCCAGTGAACAAGCAAGTTGTGATAAGCAGTTACGTGATTATACATGAGCTTTAGGAATGAGATTGGACTAAAAATGTCAAGAAGGATTTAGTAAGAATCTTGTGTGAATAACCAACTAGTGAAGTCGAAAGAGAAGTTTGATAAAAAGAAGTTAGAGGTCAAGCTGGCACAAGCAGACCTCAAAGAGTAAGAAACATGCCTGCAAGGTTGCAGGAATGTCTGATTACATAAGATGATACAGTCAATAATGAAGGTAAGTTGGTACATTATGCTTTCTATGAAGATACTGAGCCAATCAATGTAATTGAGGCATTGAAGGACTCAAAGTGGATGAAAGCGATGAACGGAGAACTGAAGTCCATCGAAGTTAACAGTACCTGATCACCAGTCAAATTACCACAAGGCAAGAAGGTAATTGATGTGAAATTGGTATACAAGGTGAAGTTAAATCCCAAAGGAGAAGTAACTCGACACAAGGAAAGAGTTGTAACAAAAGGATTTATTCAGAAAGAAGGAATCGACTTCGATGAAGTTTTTGCAGCAGTTTCTAAGATTGAAATAATCATGTTGGTTGTTGGTCTAGAAAATATGAACAACTGTTATATGTGTCAAATGGGCGTGAAATGTGTATTTCTAAATGGACCATTTAATGAAGAAATTTATGTTGCACAACCAGTTGAATTTGTGAAACAAGGCCAAGAAAACAAGGTATATCGGCTGCATAAAGCCCTGTATGGACTTAAACAAGCTCCAAGAGCTTGTAATAAGAAGATAGATAGTTTCCTAAGAGAGGAGGAATTTGTGACGTGCACAAGTGAGCATATAGTGTACATTAGAACAAGCAGAAGTGAACTACTTATATTGTGTCTCTATGTCGATGACTTGTTAATAACAGGTAGCTCCAAGAAGGAGATCGAAGACTTCAAGGGTGATCTTAACAAGGAGTTCAAAATGTCGGATCTGAGAAACATTTCATACTTCCTTGGTATCAAATTCTACAAAAGTAGTAGAACCCTGATAATGCATCAAAGAAGATATGCAAGTGAAATACTCAAAATATTTGAGATGGAATACTGCAATGCAACTTCGACACCTGTTGAACCAAGACAGCAACTGCCAAAAGACTCAGATGATATTGATCCAACACAGTACATAAGACTTATTGGATTATTAAGACACCTCTGTCACACTAGGCATGATATAACATACAATGTAGGTATGATGAGTAGATTCATGCAGAGGCCAAACGTATCTCATGTCATAACTACGAAGATGATACTAAGGCATCTCAAAGGAACTCTTGACTATGGAATGTTTTTTCTTGTAGTTGATGAAGGAAAAGAATGCAAGCTAGTGGATTACACCGACTCGAGTTAGTGTAGTAATGCTAAGGATAGAAAATCCACAACTGGTTATGTGTTTATACTAGGTGGTGCACAAGTTGCTTGGAGCTCAAGAAAATAACCAGTAATATCATTGAAGAAGAGTACATAGTTACTTCTCTCTATGCATGTCAAGCAACATGGATGGAGAATTTGGTCGAAGAAATTACAGGGAAGAATCATGGAGCTATTACCCCGAAGATCGATAACATGTTTGCTATCAATCTAGCAAAGAATCTGATAGCACATGGAAGAAGCAAACACATCGAGATGAGGTTCCATTATCTTCGAGAGCAAGTAGCAAGTGGTAAGTCGAGCTTGGAACACTGCATAATTGATAATCAGATTGTAGACATTATGACGAAGGGTGTGCAGGTCGAACTGTTCAAGAAATTGAGAACTATGATGAATGTAAATAGTTTAGACACAATAAATTAGGTGGTTTGTCCAAAGTGTAATTCTTTGTTTCGAAGCAGGAATTCGACAAAGTCTTTATTAACTGTATTCGACAAAGAATCGAATACGACAAGTAGTTGTTGAAATGCATGTAGTAGTCGAAATGTGTAGTTGTCGAAGAAGTCAACCTTGACAGATTTAAACTTAGCATTTTTATATGTTTTAGCTGAGTTAGTTAGTTAGAGTTTTCTTGGTGAACAAGCAAACCGAGCTATAAATAGGAAAGTATCCTATCATTGTAATGTGTGAAGAAAAGTTGAATAAAGTTCCAGTTTGAATGTAAAGAGAAACTCTGCAGAATCAATTTCTTGTTCCCCTCTTCTCTGAAACTCTAATTTCTCTTTTCTTCTCCAATTCATCTTTTCTTTCTTTTTAAATTTCTGTGCAGCATAAATCATCCTGCAACCAATGTGTGGTTGATTCACTCGAGTGAAGAGTGAAAAACAAGAGTCACAATCAATCAGAAAGAATGATTCTTATTCATCAAAATTAATTCAAATTAGCTCCAAGATTAGAGTTTAATTCCAACAATTTTGACTCAATTCTCACTCTTAGGGTGACTTATCTAAGAGTTTTCTGAATTTTCTTTTTTGTTGTTGTTTTTACTTGGATGATTTTTAATTTGTGTACTAATACTAGAATAACTTAGTATTTATGACTCCCGATGATTGTAATTATTTTAATGTTAAAAAGATACTTTTAATGAAATAAGAGTAATAATTAGTTAAAGACAATGTGAGGCCTTACCTATGTATATAGGTAATGACATAAAATTAGGTGAAATCCATCCTGCAAGAACATACACAAATTGTGGTTAATAAACAAATTCGTCAAATTCGGATTTTATTTAATATAGTAGTGAGCATAAAAAAAGATTGAATATCTCTAACACCTAACTAGGGTATTTATAGGAACTGAATTTTAAGCAAGAGAAAAATCAAATAATCCAAAATAAAAAATAGAGTATCAAAATTGCACAGTTGCAATTCACACGAGATAAAATAATTGTATTATATCCGCAAATAAAATATAAGAAAAGAATTAATATTTTTTCAACCAGTGCAAACTAAATGTCTCTTTATCTAGTTTAGTGATTATGGCAAAAAATTTCATCTATATTTGTAGTATATTTGAAACAATGTTTTAAAAGTCAAATCATCGATTTCATCAAATTATTGAATTATTAGATTATCGGTCGAATCAGTGAATTATTAATTAGATGGTATGATTTTTAATAATATGAAAATTTAATTTAATTTTTCTTTGATAATAAATTTTTTTTCAAATTTTTTGTTAATTTTCCAACTTTTTAATTTATTATATTATTTTATTGTATGATTAATAATAAATAAGTTTAATGAAAAATGCATTAGAGAGAAATATTATAATTATAGAATATATAACTCTATTCTCTATCATCAAATTAAACATCAAAAAAAATTTATGATATAATTGGTAAAACAACACTCTTAATAATTTTGAAAGGTTATAGGTCCGATTCTTGAAATTTTACAAAATTTTATTTTTATAATTTTAATATTATCTAGTTGTTATAAATAATTAACATGATTATAAATATTAATAAAATTGAATTTTAAAAATGAGGCACAAAAACTTGAGAAAAATAAAAATAGAAAGATCAAAATTATAATTAGGTTACAAAATAAACATAGAAAGATCAATCATTTGGTTCAAGAAATCTACTGTTCATTGGTCTGACTAGTGAATTGATCGAATCACATCGATTTTTACCGAATCAATTACAACTATAATTCAATAACTTTACTGATCCGCTCTACCTTCTAGTTCAAAGTTTAACCGGTCCGACTAAAAAGAACGGTTCAGATTTTAAAACATTAATTTGAAATGGCTATAATAAATAATAAATAAAATTATAATTTTAAAAACAAAATAAATAAAAACAATATTTATAAAAAATATAATTATATTCAAATATAGGTTTCATCAAAGTCTTATTACGGTGGATTCCAAATTCAACTATATATCTATTAATAAAACATACATGCAAACTACTTAAAAATGTCATTTATTCTAAAATTGTTTACATTTGGAAAGGATAAATTAGTAAAAAAAATTTAACTCCTTGATTAATTCACTTTATTTCAATTAAATGTTGTCAAGTGTCAAGTTCTCACTTGACACTTTTTCAGCTTTCATTTTTTTCTTCGCTTCACATTCTTTTATTCACCATTTCATTTTTTTTTAAATTGAATAAAAAAATATTAAAGGTGCAAGCGTTTTGAAGAGGGAAGTTTAAATATTTCAAAAAAAATTATTGTGGCGTGGTAAACACGTCGCAACTAATTTAGAGGAAAAAAACTCTGTCTTTGACAAGATGTTATTCTGAAACGTGCAGGTTGAGTGTAAAAATATAACCGTTGGAGGAGTTGCGACGTAAATATCACATGGCAAGGCTGCGACATGATATTCACATTGTTGATTGGTTAATTTTAAAATTATAATGTTGAAGTTGCGACGCGAATATCACATGACAAGGTTGTGACATGATATTCACGTCGCTGATTGACTAATAAACTTGCGCAATCCTCTTTCCAGAAACCATTGTGTTTCTTCATCCTCTTTCTTTTATTCTTTCTCTCTTCTGTTTTCTTCTTTCCCTCTTCTCTATTCTTCCATTCTTCCATAATCAAATCCCAATTCCACAGCAATTCCAATTTTCGTTTTAAATTAATTATATTTTATGATATATTGATTTTTTTCGTCAAGAAATTGAAGAAATTAAAAGAAAGATTCAACAAAAGATTGTACAAGAAGTTGGAGGAGTTTGAAGAATAGATATTTATGTTATTTAATTATATTTTAAATTTGTTATATATATATATATATATATATATATATATATATATATATATATATATATATATATATATATATATATATATATATATATATATATATATTTTAAATATAATATAAAAAAATATGAAATATAGTAAATATTTTTAACAATATATTTTAAAAATAAAAACATTTTTATATATTTAATAAAAAAAGGTTATATAATTTAATAAGAAATATATTAAAACAGTTTTATAAATATATTTTAATAATATATTCTAAAAATAAAAACATTTATATATATATATATATATATATATATATATATATATATATATATATATATATATATATATATATATATATATATATATATATATATATATATATATATATATATATATATATATATATATATATATATATATATATATATATATATATATATATATATATATATATATATAAACATTTTTTACTATCAACAGTTTTTATCATATAGATAATTTTTAATAAAAACAATTTTTATTTATAGTCAAAATAGAATATATATTTATCTTAATAAAATTTTTTTTAATAAAAAACATTAACATGAATATAATAGTTAGGTATAAAAAATATTATTAATTAAAAAAAAATAATTATAAATAAAATATAATAAAAAAACAAAATATATTATATATATTATTTTAAAATTGAGTAATTCATTTTTTAAGCAAATTATATATTAAAAGTAGAATATCTTATATATTTGTATTTAAAATAAAATAAAATAAAATAAAATTATATTTTATATTTCTTAAAAGAATAATCTCTTTGTTAAAAAAAATTATGGTTAATATATATTCAATATATTTATTAAACGTATGGTAAATAATATATATATATATATATATATATATATATATATATATATATATATATATATATATATATATATATATATATAGTTTTAAAATAGTTATAAAATTTAATTATAGTTACTATAGTTAAGTGTTTATTTATAGTTAATAAGAAGACAATGGTCGTATAAATGTGCAGTATGGAATATTATCGGTATGGTCGTAATTGGATGTACGATAGATTGTATTCAGGAAGACGTGCACTTAAACCCAATTTTATAAAAGGAGTTAATGAGTTTATCATGTGAGCATTTGCTCAGGAATATTATCGAAGTGAAGGAGGAGTTAGGTGTCCCTGTCTTAAATGTGAATGTAGACCAATAATTAGTGACCCGGAAGAAGTAGCACGTCATTTGCATAGAAGGGGTTTCATTGAAAATTATTGGGTTTGGACGTATAATAGTGAAGAACTACTGAGTAACGTACCAAAGACTAGCAACACGCATGCTTCAATTAGTCGACTGCCTATGGAATATGAGGAAAACTTTAATCTGGTCGGTGAGATGGTTGAGGATGCTTTTGGGGAAGAGTTGTCGAATGAGGAAGCGTAGAGATTTTATCAGTTGTTGAATGAGATGAATACACCATTATTCGAGGGGTCATCAGACTCAAAGTTATCAATGTGTGTGAGATTATTGACCGGCAAGTCAAATTGGAATGTTCCTGAACAGTGTTTGGAACATTTATCAAAAATGATGTTGGATTCCACCGCAACAAAAGACAACTTGCCTACAAGTTTTTATGATTCAAAAAAGTGGGTGTCGAAGTTAGGTTTAAAAGTAAGAAAGATTGATTGTTGTATTAGTGGTTGCATGTTGTTTTATGACAACGAGTTTGGTACTCAAGATGGATTGTTGGAGGAATGCAAGTTTTGTAAGAGTCCAAGATATCAAGTTCGCAGTAAAGCCATTATCAGCAAGCAAAAGTGTGTAGCAGTAAAGTCCATGTTTTATCTTCCGATAATACCAAGGTTAAAAAGAATGTTTGCTTCAATGCACAGTGCAAGTCAAATGACATGACATCATACAAACCAAACAAGTTCAGGCACTATGTAACATCCATCTGATGGCGAGGCATGGAAGCACTTTGATCCGACACATCCTAATTTTGCTGCAGAACCTAGAAATGTCAGGCTTGAATTATGCTCTGATGGTTTTGCCCCATATATGCAAGCATCGGGAAGTGCATATTCTTGTTGTTTATTTATTATAACTCCTTACAACCTCTCTCCTAAGATGTGCATGACAAAACCATACATGTTTTTGACGTGCGTCATTCCAGGGTCTTCCAGTCCAAAAGCAGGAATCGATGTGTACTTACAATCTTTAATTGATGATTTGAAGAGGTTGTGGATTGGAGAATGGACTTATGATATATCCTGTAAACAAAACTTTAATTTGCGAGCTGCCTTGATGTGGACCATTAATGACTTTCCAGCATATGGCATGTTATCTGGTTGGGGTACGCATGGTAAAATGGGTTGTCCGTATTGCATGGCATACACCAAAGCGTTTACGTTGGATAAAGTGGGGAAAAGCTCGTGGTTTGACTGTCACCGCAGATTCCTACCAACAAATCATCCCTATAGAAGAAACAAGACAAAATTTAAAAAAGATGAATGAGTATCAGATCTGCCTCCGCCTTGATTGTCACCAGGTGATATATGGAACCAAGTTTGTGAACGAGAGAAGTCAATTCACCTTATCAGTCTTTGGGCGTCCAGGTCGTCCCTCTGGAAAGAAGAGTGTGCATTGGTTGACCCAAAAAGAAATACAATTCGCACATGTCCATGTCTTGATCAATTGCGTTGAATTTAAACCATATCTTGAGTAAGTATACCCCAACTGTTTAATTTTCTTTGCAGTGTTAATATAAAACTTATTATCTTGAAATTTATAGTGTTTTTTTAGGGAATTTAACATCGCCTATTTTCATAGTGTCGGTGTACAATCAACATCTGGTGTCATTCATGCTCAATTTCCAGCATGGTTTAAGGAGAGATTGTCTAGCATTGTTGCATTGACTCCAAAAATACTCCATTTGAGAAACTTGTCTAAAGGCCCTGTT